CCAGGCAAAATCCAAGAAAGGCTGGAATGGATAGGAATCTCTTCTCATGTTGTGATATACGGTAGGAATTCATTTGAAATATTTAACTCAATAAATAATAAGGAAATTGACTCAAGAATAAGCTACAAGATTTCTACTCTAATGCCCCTAAATGTGTCAGCACTATATGTTTGTGCTAAAAGATTATAAATAACCTGATTCCACCTTGTATTTAGAAGTCTAGATCCATAGAAGAAAAAAAAAAAAGACACAAAAAACCAAGGAGGAAATGTCATGGTTAGCCCCAAATTATAGTCAGGTATAACTACTTTCTTCATAGTTGGCTTTAGCTAGTCTTCAGCTATGTTTAGTGGTAAGAATGGGCTGTTTAATGATTGAAAAAAAAAGTCCTAAAATTGGTGAGAAACTGTGATTTAAATCCCATGGGGGAAAAAAGGAAAATAGATAGTGCTACATCCAGGAGAATCTATTGATAATTTAAAGACATACGCATAAACACACACCTAAATAGATTTTTAACATTTATCTACTTTACAAAAATAGAAAACAGTTGAAAATTAGGATATATTTGTACCATGGTAGCAATGAGCATGGACAAGTACACAACTTAGTCATTGCCAGAATCTCAATCTTTATTGTAGAAGTTACTTGGTACTTTGTGAGATTGGTAAAAAGAAGATCCCAGAAACATAAATAATTATTACTCTTCTTTTTCAGCTTCCCAAACCCCTAAAATAACAAGAGCAACTATAATTAAAAGGACATATTGACTTATATCTGCTATTAAAATTCAATCTAAATATTAACCCATCATACCTTACGACTGAAAATATTTAGAGAGACATTTCAGATCAAGTTTATCCTTATTTACATAAGAATTCCAGATGAATATAACTATTCAGTAATGTCTGATATGGAATACTCTTGATAGTTTTAAATAATGGAAAGATATTGAATATGGAATATGGAAAATTAATATCATTCTTTGGATAAAGTCACCTTGTAAATCAAATATTACCCATAAGGAGACATGAGTGTTTAGAAGAAGGGTTATTCTTGTAGAAGAAAGATCAAGAATGGGAGCACTCATTTCCCCTCCTTCCCCAACATCCCCAGTCTCTTTGTTTTAAACCATTGGATGTAGCCTTAAGCATTCGATGGACCTGAGGTCATTGCTCTTTCATGGCAGAGTGCAGTGGTCTATCAGGACAGTTCTGCTGTCCTTTTCATGTGGCCACAATACCATGCCAACTATAGATTCTTTGATCACAATACTGGAGACCCATGGTGGGAAGTAAAGATTTGCCTAAACATCCTGAAATGAATTATAGCACTTCTTCAATTAAATAATTTCCAGATTTCACACTCTATTTCTCATTTCAAATTATGCCTATGGACCTTGTCCAATATAGTTTATAGATGGTTCCATAATGAGACTACATGAAAAGTTTAATATAGTCAAATAACAAAACTCTAAAATGCCACAAATTACAAAAAAAAAAATCATCATTACAAACTTCCTAAGAAATTAGAAATTTGACAACTAAATTTATTTGTTTAGGTTAAAATTCAAAGTTATCCAGCATTCACATTCTTTAGTGAAAATTCAAAGACTGATATCAAATATCTGACTATGTGAGTTAATTTTTTAAAATTTAAGTCCCAAATTTGTTATCCCCTACTTTTTCATCTGCCTTATATCAGATGAATTCTTGATGCTGTGTTGGGACTTGGGTTATTATTTCAGTTAAACTTTTACTTTTGCCTTTTATTGGAATGAAATAATTCTATCAAGATTTAAACAGTTTAATGCAATTTCAGTTTCACTGCAGAGAATTAGGTCTCACTTTGTGAAGATTTTATAGTGAATTGGATGCACCAGGTTATCGTATCACCAGCCCTTACCAACCCCATTTCAAAAACAAGTCAATTCCAAGCCATGTAGTAGTTTCCATAAACTAAATTATGTTCTCAGAATTGAGTGCATATTCCAATTCAAAGGCAGTTCCCAAAGACTGTGGCAGAAACTCAGTAGTTTAGAAGCTGGATAGTGAATTTTTTTTTCTTGCTTTTATCAGCTAATCTATGCCAGTTTTGTGAAATACACAAGCACAGTCCAGCTCTGTATAGCTCCTCTCTCAGAGTAGCATCTAAGGCACTGCTGTCTTCTTTAATAGCCTCATGATGGTGGCAGACAGACATTGCCATAGTTTTAGGTATGTTTCTTTCTGTGCCAATATGTTCAATCCTTCTCTAATGTCACCTGGTCTTTGATCCCTGTGTTGGTAGTACCCCAGTGTGAACTATGTTGGTGTTTTACATAGGGCCACAGTACTCACCCTGCTATGAATAGGTACTTCTGCTGCCTCTTACAGTGGAATACTAATGCCTACAAAACATGTCATCAAGACTTTTCTCCCTCATATATAATTATCCAATCTAAGGCCAGCTTGAGAGCACATTGTGGGGAATGTTTTAAGCTCCCAGGCAAGATGTGGTAATCCAAGTTTGACCTCTTCAATTTCCTTCTTAACAAACAAAGTGGGATTTGGGGTCAACCTATCTAGAGCTAACTACCTTAAGCTGACTACTTACAGCCAGAATGTTACAGGAAATTCAGGAGCCTTGCCATGTAAAAGTAGCAATTACTGCCCTCTCTAGCAATGACTAAAAGGCCTGTGTATGGAAAGATTCTCTTTTCTCATTCTTATCTTGAAAGCTCATCTTATTGAGCTTTCAGTCCACACTGAAGAGTTTGGCTGACCAGGGCACCTATGTGAAGTCTAGTATCTATGTAATCTAAAATCAAGCCACAGAAACCAACACCCTTAAATCCTGAGCATTTGATAAGACTTCCGTATAGCTTCTTCTTTCTGAGGCCAAAAAGACAGGTTTTGCTTCCTAGACCATTAACAGATAGCATTTGCTGAGGTCCCCATGTGGCTAGCAGTTGGTTGGAATGCTCTGAATAGCACAGGACTCCAAGGACTGTCCCTTTGCTGAGACTGTACAGACTCCTCCTTTCTGCTAAAGTCACCAACCCACACCTTTGAGACCTCTGTGCAATATATTGAATATCTGTTGCATGTAGTAACACCTCTTTGAAAACAAACAGCCATTCATGTTTAGGCAGTCACCATAAACTGCAGTGATTCACCAAGATAAAATTACCACGTGGCCAGTGCCTCAGGCCTTCAGCAAGACACCTAAACCAACAGTTAAAAAAAATCAACTAAACCGTTTCTACCTTTTTGAAAAATCCTGACCACACACCATGCATGATGGTGCATAACCTGTAATCCCAGCTGATAAGGAGGCTGAGGCAGAAGAATCAAAAGTTCAAAGCCAGACTCAGCAACTTAGGGGGGCCCTGTCTTAAAATTAAAAAATAAAAATAGAAAAGGCTGGGGACATGGCTTGGTGGTTAAGCAATATAATCCTCAATATAAAAATAAGTAAATTTTAAAAAAATTAAAAATAAATCCTGACTACACATTAAAGTGCAAGGCCCTTTGTTACATATTCAAGTTCAAGTCCCACAAACTAAGCTTCACAGTTGTGCTATTTCTCATTAATCTGGCCCTGAATACCAGTTTCTAATATTCTCCTAAATTTAATTTCTCCACCCAAATTGCAGAACACTTCACAGGAACAGGCTTGTTCATAAGAAGTCCCAAAACTGAGTAGAATAAATGTTCTCTGGAGACAGCTCAGAATCTAAAGGGAATTGGTGAGGGAATGGGCTGGGCTGGACTACACAAACCTGATTTCTCCTTCCAAACTCTTGAGCTACAACACTAGGAGCATTACACTAAAGGGGTTTCCTGTACATACAGAAAATGAATCAATTGTCCCCTTTTCCCATAATTATTATTATATGCCCGTAAACCTTACTATTTGGAATTCCTTTGAAAACATTTGATTCGTGAAATGATTTAAAAGAAAATACTGCTACTTTAAATTCATTAAGATTTGGTCAATCTGGGGATTCCTTTAATAAGAATACCTGTCTACCAATTATGTATACAAATTCAAATTTATGTTTAAAAAAATGCTTTCCACTCAAAATAATCTCCAGGAACAATTAATTAATTAAAAGTATTTCCTTTATTGTTTAAAACAGTGAGATTCACAAACTATAAACAATTACTTTTCCCAATATATTTTAAATTAAAAGCAGACCTGCCAACACTAGGGGAATGGACAGGTCCTTGAATCAAATGACGATGTAACAGAGAACTAAATTAAACATTACAGAGAGTTGTCCTTGGGAATCACTCCCCATTTCTCCTTGGGGTGACTCTCTTCTCACATCCACTTATATTTCTATCAAGGCCAAAGCCTCACCTCAGTGATCCCTCTCCAGTATGTATTTATTTAACCCCTATTATGTGTTAGGTGGACATCTTCCAGGTCTTCAACTTGGTACCACTAGGTATGATTCTTTAGGACACTGTCTCATTCACTAACTGATGAGAAGAACTTTATTAATTAATTCATGATGAAATACTTATTATTTTGAAAAGTTTAACATACTGTTCATACAAAAGTTTCTCATCTCATATATAAATATGCCTTAACTCAAAAGAATGAATTTACACCTGCATCATCCAATCATCTTAAGTTATCTTTCTGGTTTGCCTCAAATCATTCCATAAGCATAGCCATCTACACCCTCTTGAGACACTGAGCTTATTTAGCTACTGAGGGCAATAGGCCACACAGGTTTGTGTGGTCGTATCCTGTTACATTATATTGAGCTGGTCTATTTGTTATCATCTTTGTCAAGCCTATAGAATTGTGAGAAATGCATTGTAGAATTTGGAGTCTGATAGATTGATTTTTGAAGTGCCTTATAACTATTCAAGCATATTCTAAACTTCATAATATGCAAATTTGTGATAATTGTTCATGGAGCTAAAATGCAACTAAATTATTGACAGCATATCCTGAGATATGTAAAATGAAGACTATATCATCATTTTCTTTCTTTGAATTAGGAGCTGAAGCTAATTTTATGCTGAAAATTCATCCTCTGAAGAAATATCCTGTGGATCTTTACTATCTGGTTGATGTATCAGCATCGATGCACAATAACATAGAAAAATTAAACTCCGTTGGAAATGATTTATCTAGAAAAATGGCATTTTTCTCCCGTGACTTCCGCCTTGGATTTGGCTCATATGTGGACAAAACTGTTTCACCATACATTAGTGTCCACCCTGAAAGGATTCATAATCAATGCAGGTATCTAATGCTTGATGTTGTTAATATTAAATGTATTTTTCCTTGTAAAATCTCATTTGTTTGTTTCCATATGAAGAACTTGGCAAAATTTATAATTTTTTTCTTATTAAGTAAGAATAAAAAAATTTTCAGGAAGAAGTTTGTTCCTATTTGAAACTTTTATTTGTCCCTTGGGTTTTAAATTTGTTATTTCTTCAAATATTATTCATCCAGTATTTATCACCACAAAAAAAACCTTTACTTTTTATTAGTCACTTTGCATTAATTTCCAATAATCATGCTTTCGCATATAGATTACCTGTCTGGATATTCTGTATTTCTCCTTTCTGACTGTTCCACATTGGTGAAATTAAGGTTTGACACATTTTACAGTCTTTTTCTTACCAGTAGTTCATCTATCTGACTATCGCTGTGGTGATTGGGTTTAATTATGTTCCTTCTTACATGACCTCAAAGAAAGTTCAGTTACCCCACAGAAAGGCGTCAAAGGATGGAATTGATGTCTGAGACTTTTTTCTTATCATTTTGCGATTTGGATTCCACAGAGTACATGCTTAGCGTGAAAAGAGAACTTACCTAAGTTACAAGTTCTCATACATAATACCTTTGGCCTGCTGAGTATTCAGAGAAATAAATCTGTATAGTTCTTGTTTCAGAAGTCATTTTATTTTGATACATGTCCTATTTTTATAATTGCTCAACTCATCATACACTGCACATTCCAATGTACCAAAATAACTCTGTTATCTATTTGACCAGAGGAGGGCTGATTTATCTCCTAATGAAGCTTCCTGAGTCTCTCCTTGAAGGTGAATAACCCTGAGGAGTGGTTCTTACTTTCTGAGATATCACGGGATTGTCAAAACAGTTTTAATGAATTTTGATAGCTCATCAATAATCAACAACAAGCACCACTTTAAAAATTAGTGCAATGTTGTTGTTTTTTCTTCTGTTTATTTTTTTATTGGTTGTTCAAAATATTACAAAGCTCATGACATATCATATTTCATACATTTGATTCAAGTGGGTTATGAACTCCCATTTTTACCCCAAATACAAATTGCAGAATTACATCGGTTACACACTCACATTTTTACATAATGCCATATTAGTGACTGTTGTATTCTGCTACTTTTCCTATCCCCTACTAAAAATAATATGATATTTCAACTAAATTTCCAAAAATATTTCCCCAAACATATTTCTCAGCACTCTCAAAGAATTTAGGATTTTTACATTTTCTTTGATTTCTCAAGTGAGAACATATTATAGAAGAATGTATTCCCCTCCTCTCTCTTCCTTGTCACTGATGTTTGCAAAGTTATCAGTGGCAAACTCTGATAGGAAATTACTGAAAATTCTTATGCTCCTCTTAGGAATTCACAGCATATCAAAAGCCCTTAGTTGTCCTACATTAAAAAAAATTAAACCTTTTTGTTTTTTTGAACATCAAACCTTATAACTCTATTTCCTGCTCACAAGGAAATGTTCACCAATGTTAAACTTGTATCTAATTTGATAGATTTTTGAGTTTTAAAATTTCTCTGGCAAAAAGATTCTACTTCCATCTCCTACCATCTCCACAAATTTTACTGTTATTAGTATTCTGAAACTTTATGAAGCAAAACAAAAGAGACTTTGCACTTCTTCTTTTCCCATGTAGTGACTACAATTTGGACTGTATGCCTCCCCATGGGTACATCCATGTGCTGTCTTTGACAGAAAACATCACTGAGTTTGAAAAAGCAGTTCACAGACAAAAGATCTCTGGAAACATAGACACTCCCGAAGGAGGGTTCGACGCCATGCTTCAGGCAGCTGTCTGTGAGGTGAGAAGTTGCATCGTTGTGTGTTTTAGTGCTCAGATGCCACATGTTCCAAGAATCAACGTTTTTATTTTGTCTTTGATTTATGGAGTGAAAACATAGTACAGAAGAATACTTTCTCCTCTTATGGTCCCCAGTGTTACTCATTGTTACTCAATGTTACAGAGGGGCTAAATTGGGAGAGGGACATGCATATACAAAGGAAAGAATAACTTGTGTACATGAAGCTGCTTTTCCCTGCTTCACACTCCAAGAAATCATAGATGGCCTATGGTCCCATTCACACCACGCTATGGCCTTGCCTTGTAACTTGGCTTTTTCTTTCTCCAGTGGAAACTAGCAATCTCTAGCCAGGAACTAAGTGTGGTCCAATGACTGTGGTGACACAGAGGCTAGAGAAATAAACGTGAATGCTATTTATGAAGCAGCATTGTACATGGGCACATCATTCTAGCCTGACTTCATGTTTGTCAACTCAAACATATCCTTTACTTGAGGCAAAGACCACAGTCCAGATCCATGTTATTGTACAAGATCTAATTACATGTTTATTTTAAGAGTCACATTGGATGGCGAAAAGAAGCTAAAAGATTGCTGCTGGTGATGACAGATCAGACATCTCATCTTGCTCTTGATAGCAAATTGGCAGGCATCGTGGTGCCGAATGACGGAAACTGCCATCTGAAAAACAATGTCTACGTCAAATCGACAACCATGGTAATGTAGCAAGAGCTCCTCCACAGCTATGACTCTTTGAATTAAAGTACAAATTTAAATTGGCAACTCAGCTGTTCTTGTGCCAGCAAATAAAGAAGCAAGACACAGAACCAAGATAAGCCAGGAAAGAGGACGTATGAAACCATATAGTCTATAAATGTTGCCCAATTAAATATATGGCTTAACTATTTTGACAGCATCTAGTAGTGACTCGTTGATGAGCTGCAAGCAACTGTATAATACTTAAAGAATAAAAGAGATACAAGAGCTTCCTTTTTATGTAGTTTATTTAAAGAAAAAAAAAACATGTCTTTACTTTTTACTGGTGATACATGTTTGCTATCTACAAACATACTAAGGAGTGCTCATGAAATGCGGTTGGCTGAAGGAATCTTCATAGTACAGTAGGTAGAAGCTAAACAGAGACCAGGAAAATGAAACAGCTAAACAAGGAGATTAGTCCAGTCTGTATGTCACTTCTTCCCTCTGACACTCATCTTTGTGTAGGGCCACTTCTTAGATCAGCAGGTGCCTAAGTTGCTTCCTGAGGGGTAGTATAAGCTTTGAATCCTATGTTTAAGTGCAGTCTTTTAGTGCCACAACTTCCCCAGCATTAGTCTATTGTAGATATAAAAAATGGACAAGAAAGCATCATTTATTTCTGATGTTGACACCTATTTATACATTCTTGAAAATGTTATAACAGAAACTGTAAAACTGTCCCAGTTCATGGGTACTGGTGTGTGGGAGGTTTTTCCTACAGCACCCTTAGGCCGAAAGAAGCTTAGTTAAGAACCTAGATATAAATACCTTACCTATTTGTGCCTGACAACTTAGCAATCAGTTAAAAACATTACACTCGATTGAATAGAATATATAGATCTATATTTATGTCATTTTTAACAAGTTACCCATGAACAGGAATTTCCTAAACTTTGTCATCAGAATGGATATTGCCAAACTAAGTTCCAGTTCCATGTTGATATTTGTGTTGACCACCTTGGCCAAGGTCTGATGTAAGGCCTGAAAAACTGTGACCTACCTCCAGCTAGTAGTTTATGTCTACTTGACAGATGCCACCACTACATTGATGCCTTTGGAATTTTGAAACATTTTGCCCACTTCTGTGGTGTATGCTGTGGTGCTTGAAGGCACCTTGCCCATAGTTTGGGAAATGTAGTAGTAGAAGCGAATGAACTATGTTTAAATTTGTGGGGTTCCCATATATAAACTTTAAATAGGTCATTAGTTAATCTAGAACATTCTACCAGACAGGTTGAAAGTCAAGGGGTACGAATGTATGACCAGACAAAACAAGTCCGACCCTTGGATATCTAAGATTTGGAATTTGGAGTTATCCCAACACAGCCTTTCCCTTTGCGAATTCTCTTCTACCCAGGCTCCTTTCACTTTGGCAGACCTGCCTGCTTCTTTGTAGTCACTTCTTATCTATCTTTTCTTCTGTTTAACCTCTTTTCATCTGAGGTAGAATTCTTATTTACTTATTGGGAGTAGAGAAGGAGACAGGAGGAGCCATTTTATTGAGACAAAGAGAAGCTTTTTTTTTTTTTTAAGAAAAGGAGAAGTAACAATGGCATTATTCTCAAATTGCAATACTCTTTTGAAGTTTTGCCAAGTTACTGAAGTCATCTCTTCATAAGTGTATTTGAAAGGATGGTGATGCCTCTCCAGGGAGGATTGCTTAAGCAAAAAAAAAGAAAGAAAGAAAGAAAAAAAAAGAAAAAGAAGAAGATAGGCAGTGAGGGAAAGAGAAAAGAAAAAATGATGTTGTAACTTTCGATTTATCTCATGTCATAGATAACCTTAAAGAAGTAAATTGCAATTCTGGTGGAATTTTAGACAGTGTTTGGGGTTTGCCATGTCAGGAAATTGGACCAACTATTGTGAACTTCTTTTACCTTCTTCGTCATCTTTTCACCTGTTTAAGAAATGACCTTTCCACTTGTCACTCACAGGTGAGATTGAGGAATCCAAAAAGGAATGTGCTTGTTAATAACATGGAATCTTCTTATTTCAGTTATCTCAGGTCTGTGTTTTAAAGGATCCTCTTCCTAAGAATTCTCATTCCTTTCTTTTCTAGGGATGCATCCCTAAACCAAAAGAAGCTAAAACATTTTGATGTTTCCCTTGGCCGTGTATTTATTTATACATATAATATGTGCAACTTCTCTACAGCCCCTATATCTAAAGTTACCTTGATCCTGACTCTAGGCATAGTTACCTGCTTGTTTTGAAATGATCCTCTTTCTCTCCTGTTTGTCTATTCTGAAGAAATTTCAAACTTTTTATTAGTTAAACAAGTAATCAATTGCTTTGATTCTTGGCTTTATCTCCAAGCCAATACCAGTAGTGTTGAGCAGGATCCAAGCTTCTTGGTCCAACACTCTGGTTATTTTATTTATGAGGAGAAATAATTAATAAAACATCTTTTGTATGTCTAAATTATTGAGGCTAAAATTCTAGTCTTATACACATAGCTATTTCATGAAGATCAATGTGAACCCCGGAGTAACAGAAATTACTGTTTTTGAGTATGTATTAATTGAAAGCACCATAGCAAACTTTTTTCATATAGTGTTAAATTTATCTGAACAACTCTATAGGGTGGTCATATTATCGTCCTTTTACAAAGAGAATTATTGAGGGTCAGAAAAGTTAAGTAAAAGTTGCCTGAGGACGGACAGCTTAAAACTTAGTAATTGCAAATCTGGGGCGGGGTCCATCTCAAATTTTATTTTAAAATCTTTACTCTTAACCACTTTGTCAATGTCTCAACCAAAAAGAAGAAGATATAGGGAAACCATGTCTTTGGAGTCACTTCTAAATGCTAGTGTCCACTCTTAAACTCTTGACTCATGGAACTATAAATCAGATGATTTGGCTGATGTAAATTATATAACAAGATATAATTTAAAGTAACTTCTCTTTACACCTTTTTCATATTTGTACATGGTTATTGGCAAATTGTATTACACTATTGAATAAATTATATTTTCCACTGCTTTTTCTGCAAGATTAAATGCCAGAATATAAAGCTTGAGTAATAATGTAGTTCTATAATTTGTCTGGTTAAAATGACAGTTTCAAGTACGGCATTGCTTCTGAGATGGTAGATGTTAATTTAAAATTGTTAATAGTATAGAAGCTAAGGGCCTAGAATTTCATCCTGTCTCCCCACCCAGCTCCTCCAGGGTTATTCCCATCCTTTGTCAGAGCCCTCCCAGAAACCATTCACCCCACCCTTGGTAGAAACCAAGAATAGCACAATGACCTTCAGTCACACTGAAAAGAGACCAGGGAGCAAGAATGTGGAGGTCATCCAGCGAACCTCATCAATGGGATTTTCAGATGTTGATATGACTCTTGGTACTGAATAGAGGGATTCAAATAGACAAGAGCCTACCTTATCCTTATGGTATGTACAAGTGCATACAATGTATTCACCCGTACTCCCTAGATTAGGCCTAATGTTTCATTTTCCACAGGGCTTCTCCTGTGCCCCATCACTCTATGGTCAATGAGTCTTCATTTTTCTCCCACATACCTCCTTATAATTCCCTACTGCTGGCTCCAGAGCTCATGCCTCTCCTTACAGTGTGTTGGGATAGACTAGTTGCCAAGTGGATCAGCAACTTAGATGATGAGGCAGGTCGGCAGAGGCATGTTAGGCATTGTTGTACACTTACGTTTCCTTGCAATGCAAATAGTCAACACTGTGCCTCTTCTCCAGCATTTTTTTAAAGATGTGCTGGACTTTTAGTATACTTGTTTAGGTAACTTTACTTTTACCATGAATTACACACATTTTTTCTAGAATTGCTGATAAAGAGAGTTTGGGGACATATTGAACTAATTTTATCCATAACTTTGCTATGTGAGTTAACAAACGTTTATAAAGTTATTATATTTATTTCAGGGGATTTTTTTCATCTGATAGAGGCATTTTTAATATTGTCAATGATATATATAACTAATATTGATATCAGATCGAGTTCCACTTAAGGGAATAATTGTAATCTTTTAGTAAAGAAATGTGTTAATGTTTTGTAGCTCCATGACCAAGAATAGCTTCTTTAATTTCAGAAAGTGTTTTAAAAAAAAAGAAACTGTTTGCTTTAAACTTTTCAGCTCTAACTAAATCTCTGCTCTTTTCCTGTTTCTGGGCTTTTGTGTCTTGAACACATACTATAAAAATGCTAATTCACTGATCATTTGTTTTGAGCCAGGCACTTAATATATAATATATATAAAAATATATATATATTTTTTTTTCTTGTAATCCCAGCTATTGGAGAGGATAAGGCAGGAGGATCACAAGTTCAAGGCCATCCTCAGCTACTTAGTGAGACTCTGTCTCAAAATTTCTTAAAAATTTTAAAAAGGGTTGAGGCTATAGCTTGATGGTAGAATCCCCCATATTTAATCCCCAGTAACAATAGTAATAGCAACAGCAAGACTAGCGAAATGTCTGACTTCAGCTTGCTGAATTCGCTATTTGAAATCATAAATGCCATGAGAATATTTCTACCATTATTTTTTTGAAACCTAATTTGAATGCTTTTCATGTCCTCAGAAAAGCAGCCAGGAAATGATCTCTGCAAACAATATTCATCTGGATTTCTTTTTCATGGAATTCAAAGGTTATAGGCAGAAATTTCTTATCACAGGCTCAGAGGAGCCTGACGATTTTTAGTGCACCTCTGAAATAGGATAAAATGAAAGTTCGGAAAGGTAGCCCAATAAAATTCAAATTTGACTTGAAAATTTATGGAAAGAAATATTCTAATTAATTCAGGTGTTCTGATTAAATCATATTTACCCAAAAAATTGTTTGCTTTAAACTTTTCAGCTCTAACTAAATCTCTACTATCAGATTGCTTGCATGTTATTTGTCTCTCTCCTAAGATACTCTACTTACTTATTTTTTAATTTTTTGTCATAGCTTTATTGAGGGAAAATTGAAGTGCAATAAAATACAC